AAAAATTTTTTGAGCATACAACATTTTTGCCTTTTGGCCGAACGTTCACTTTAAGTAAGAATTCTATGCAATCCTTTATAAATAAGACTCCTGATCTGCAGGAAACAAACTCAAAACCACCCTGAGTTAATGTTCAGTGAGAATTTAAAAAAAATCTGCAGAAGCATTTGCTCTGATAACTGATTTCTTTATGTTTTTGCACAGAAAAGAAAAAATTCTGCTTCGTTCATTTAGTCAAACCTTAAGCATCTGCCAGAACGAGATGAGTTTGAAACAAGCAAACCTGCAACAGAAACAAGGAGCTATTTATACACAACACCATGACAACACTTGGCACAAACAACAGTAAATTTGTCTGACGCAAAGCCTATAAAACAACAACGTGATTCATCTGCTTGTTTTACACTCTGAGAAAGGAAATCTAATAAACACGTTGGACAGTCTCATCCTTCAGGTGAGAACTTTTTACTTCTCCCTCGCTTTCATAAATCCAGAGAGCAGCTTTAAAGCTCTATAAATAATGATCTGATGCGTGGAACCGGTCTTAAAGTTCAATTTCCTGATTCACATCACATCGGTTACGGTTACAGCTCTGTTAAGCTAACTTGATGCTGAGATTTAATGAAATATTCCAACCAGAAGAGGATTGTCTTTTCTTGCAGTTGCACACGTTTAGGATTAGTTTGTTCCCATTTTTTAAAAAACATTTTAGGTGATTAGAAAACATCTTGTTGCACGTGTGTTTTCCAGCTCTGGATCTGACACAGCTCAAGTGGATAATGGTGCTTTTAAAAAAATTACAACAAAAAAAAAGGTATGAAAGAGATGCTTCTGAGGATCTCGAACACATCAAACACTTCACGCACCAAGCTGAGGATGGGCTTGTTTTTTTAAGAAATGAGATAAAACACATGGATGTCTGCGCCTCCTGGATTCAGAAAGACTGAAACATAAAACAACTCCTCTCTAATGCACTTCATCCATCTGGATAAATACATTTTCCTGCAGCGGCTGCTGGCGAGCAGACATATTGAGAGCAGCGCCGGTTGGAGTCTGAAGGTGAATACGTTTTGTTTGCTTATTGCTGCTGTGAAACTGAGCGGTGAGGAAGAGCACATTAGTTTGAAGGAAGCTCCCGGTCGCCGCTATTGATTTTCCCTCAGGACACAAGAGATGAGAAACTCGTCCTAATTGGAGTTTCTTAGCAGAGACTCGTGATGAGTTGCTCATGTTCTGACACTTCACCGTATATACGCTGCGATTCTTATTCAGGTCATTTTTTACTGAGAGAAAAAAGATCAAATAAAAACATATGTTGAGGCACAAAACATTTGTTTCAAATCCACGGTGTTGGCTCAGTTTAAGCTCTAAAAGCTTCAGCATCAACTCTTTATCCTTCATAATTTCTAGGGATGCACGACATATCGGCATTAATATCGGTATCGGCCGATATTTAAAGGGGCAATATCATGTAAAATCAACTTTTTTGAGTTTTGTATCATGTTATAATGTTATACTCTCATAAAAACACATACCCAAAGCCTTGCTTTGACTCATTCATGCATGTTTGAGAAATCCTGCAGCGTTTTTAGGAAACCATGCTGAGAAGCAAAACAGGTGGGGACCAGAAACACCTTTTGGGACCAGGAACAACTTTTGGTACCAGAAACCCCCCCTGGGACGTGTCTTTAAGCTGAACTTCCTCATCACGGAGCACACCTCCCCACCCCACACACCCCGCCCATGACTCCTGCAGGCTCTC